ACCTGGTATTTCGGGTCAAACTTGGAGGTGAGGGCAATAGTGTGTCAGAGGTGGATGAGCACTAAGGGGTGACACAGGAGCAACGTATATGTGTATGCAGTAGTGTGATCGGACAGTTCATCATTATTTTGAAATCATAATTTTGGGACACTAATTGATGATATATGATATATATATGATATATATGGTATATATATTTCGCATGTGCTTGTGTGATATACCACACAAGCACATGCGAAGATATTGGAGTGTTAAAGGGACAGTCCACTATTTAGAACAGTTCATTTGATATTTGTGTACACTATTCATTTTGCACTGTTATATGCAGTTTTATGGGTATTCATATGTATGTGTTGATATATATTTGATGCAGCACACATTATTGCCACTAAGCATAATTTTGGTGTCACTATTCGTTTATACACGTTGGATATTAGTAGCACCGTATTTGAGTTTATAGTACTGTGCTGCATTTTTTTTTGATTTATAGAATAGAATGGAATACATTTGAATGGAACAGAATAGGAAAGAAAAACAATAGAAAGAATATAACCATCTTCTGAAATTCAAATATTGAAAAAAATATATTCAAATTCAAATAGATTACAAAATAATAGAATAAAAAAGGAAAGAAGATAATAAAATAGAACAGAAAATAAGAGAATGGAATAGACTAGAACAGAAAGAATATAACCATCTTCTGAAATTCAAATTTCGCATAGAATAAATTGGAATTTGAATTGAATTTGAAAACAAAATGCACTCCAAAAATAAATCAAACAAAGTTAATGAAGCAAAATAAGTTTTTATTTAAGTGACGAATTGAAACGAAATGCAGTTTTTTTTTTCTTCTGCACATGTCTTATCATGCCATAAGTGGGCCAAAATGAAAAAAAATAAGTTTTGGCTTTACATTTACTGTATAGTATAATTTGATGTCAGGGGCGGACTGACCATTTGGAAACTCGGGCACTGCCCAAGGGCCCGGGGTCAGTAGGGGGCCCCATGAGATGCCCCTGGTACCTTTTTCATAGGCTTTTTTGAGTTTGGGCAAGGACACAGGGGCCCCATGATCCCCTATTGCCCGGGGGACCCAAGAGTTGTCAGTCCGCCCCTGTTTGCTGTATAAATGTATATTCAGTGCTTTTATCTAAGAAGAATCTCTTCATACGGTTGGTTCACACTCAATACCATGCTGTATTAGCCAAGATAGAGTAGCATTCAGCTGAAAATATTATATTACACCTCCCTGCCATTACTGTATACACATCAATGACAATTGTCCCTGCCCTTCATTCTCTGTATACGACTTTAAAATATATAGTAATAGTAAAGCAATGAAAAAATGGATGCTCAAAAATAGATGGAAGCAGAAAAAAAAAACATGTACAATTTATAGCCAGAATGCAAAATGCACTTACTACTGTTCTTATTGTAAAAACAGTGACAATAGAATGCAATGACTATATGCAAGCACAAACAGGCATATTCAATACACAGTGCAAGAATGAACCAGTCAGTATAAGATACATCATTTTATAGAGACATAGAAGAGTGACATCAGAAAAAATACTACGTGGTCCACTGAGTCTGCAGCATATTTTATAAATGTATTTTTTCACTTTTTGCATGGATTTATGTTTGTCCCAAGCATGTTTGAAGTCACTTACTGTGACTTCAAAATCATCTCTGCTGGAAGTCAATTGCAGCTACTCATTTGGTAAAATAATACCTCCTGCCACTTTGAGGTCATGTCCCCATATTCTTGATCTGAGCTTTATATTGAAAATTCTGCCCTCCTGAACCTTAATAACACCTTTCGCACAGGAACCACACCAGGGGGGCGGACTGACCATTTGGAAAATCGGGCACTGTCTGAGGGCCCATGGGGGTCAATAGGGGGCCCCATGAGATGCCCCTGGTACCTTTTCATAGGCTTTTGTGAGTTTGGGCAAGGACACAGGGGCCCCATGATCCCCTATTGCTCAGGGGCCCCATGAGTTGTCAGTCCGCCCCTGAACCACACCACATTCCTCTGCAAATCACATACGATTCGCACCAAAAAAGCACAGGAGACTTTTTTTTTTTTCTCTGCACCAGAATCGGATCATCTGGGTGTTCGCACCTATGTGATCCAATTCTGCACATCGCACCACGTTGTTAACTTAAAATACACAACCACAGTGGTTCACATGAACGGGGTGCGATTATGACACAGTGCAATAATCGCACAGAAACCGGGGAGAATTCTGCACCGCATCAGTGTGAATCAGGGCTTAAAGTGATATTAAAAGCTTGCTTTTTTCCTCAAATAAAAAGAGGTTTATACGTACTCTTCTTTGTGCAAGGATATTGCACAGAGCAGTTTCTTACCTCCTGTTCTGGAGTCCTCCCAGGTGTCTTCTCAGCAAGAGGGCACAGGTGTGAGCGCACTATCAAGCCAGGCTGTGTGCGTCCATAGACACACACACCACTGCTTGACCACGCTTCTCGCTCCCTCCTCACAGGATTTGACTGACAGCAGCAGGAGCCAATGGCTTCTGCTGCTGCCTGTATCGTCTGTGAGAAGAGGAAAAGAGCAGAGATGCTGCAGACATGCACAGCACTGGATTGAGATAGGACTCATGTAAGTGTTTTTGGGGGGGGGGCATATATATTCATAAGCCAATATTACTGTAGCCTGTCACTCATGCAAGAGATACCAGTGACACCTATTGACAGCAGGTAGAAGGAACAACAACACCAAGCTTACAGGAAGACAAAATAAGTACTACAAATCAGCTTGAGCTGTTTACCACCTAGAAAATGTAATTTAGATAGTCCCCCCTGCTTAGGGCAGGGTGGCTCCACTTGCATACAGTTTCCACTTTTTTTTTTTTTCACCTAAAGCTCAACTTGACCCTAGCTTTATTTCGGCTCATAGCTGGGTTGCTTTAAGAAGTAGTGTACCTGCTTGAAGAAAAAGTAAAGTTTTTCTTAAAGAGCCATAACGCAGAACAAAATAAACGTATTCAATGAAAAACAAAAAGTGTAAAAACCTATATCAACTGCTCAGAATCCATCTTGTTTGATTCTGTTTTCATTTACAAGCAGTCTTTACCTAAATTTATGCGGCAAAGCCCCTAACGAGCTGCTGGTGGTTCTGATGCTTTTCCCCCAGATTAGTGCACACACAACCAGGCGCACAGCATTTTGTTCACATTCACTGGCTGGAATAGAACAGTCTAGGGGTATCTTTTTGATGGTGTATTGAAAAGCTGAACTTGGATGGGGTGAAGGGAGCATGGGCATACCCCAAAATGAAGAACTGAACTCCTTGAGGACTCTTCTCTCTCCCTCTCTCTCTAAGCTGCTCAAAAAGTCCCAAATGACTCTCTGCTGCTACCAGGTGACTATGCCTTCTTTCCAGAAAGTAAGAGCTACACACAGTCAATAAGGCCCTGCACTCAGGTTGTTTACTCATGATGCCACAAGGTCATTGGTTGCCCCTTCTTCCAATATCCACTGGGCACTCTTCACTGAGGGAGATGTAGACTCACACTACCACAGGACAGCTGGGCTCTCCCTGAACTTCCTCCTGGTACTCTCCAGTGAGCTTCTCCAGACCCAAACCAACTCCAGGACCAGACTTAGCAAATACGCCCCCAAGCTTAAGCTTCAGCTAGGACCTTGATGTCTTCTGAATGGAACCTCCTGTACAGGGGTCTCCTCCAGCAGGACTGGACCCAGGAACTTCTCACCCCTGCCTCAGGCCTCAGACCATTAATGAGTTCTCCAGCCACCTACTCCCCAGGGATTGGCTGGATTCCAATAAATATTCAGGCTGCTTCCCTTATTCTTCCCCCCACTACAATTCTAAAATCCTCTAGAACAGTGGTCTCCAAATGGGGCCAGATGCGGCCATCTACTTGCTTTTATCCAGCCCTTGGGGCATTATTTCCCCTACTAGCAGCAACAAAGTGGCATTATTCCTGCCACTGATACCAACAATGGGGCACTAGTCCTCTCAATGACACCAACTATGGCACACTATTCCTCCTATTGATACCAATGATGGGGCACTATTACTCCCACTGTCACCAATGATTGGGCACTATTCCTCCCATTAATACCAACAAAAGGGTACTATTCTTCCCACTGGCACCAATGATGGGACCTTATTCCTCCCACTGACACCAATGATTGGGCACTATTCTTCCCATTAACCTCCCCCCAAAGGTTGATGGACAATAAACTGGCTCTTTGTTTAGAAAGTTTGGAGAGCCCTGCTCTAGAATACAGGGGGACGTAATCAAAGCAGCGGCCTGTGAGACACCCTCGCTCCACCAATTACTGTACTAAATTTTCCTAACAGCCTGCACTAACTAGGAGTGTTTCTACATTTAGAAATGCATTGATGCAATCTGCTTGTATGCATTTTGTTTTAATAAAATAACAAACATGTTATACTTACCAGCTCTGTGAAAACAGTTTTGCACAAAGCCGTCCCGATCCTCCTCTTCTGGGGTCACCCGCCAGCACTTCTGGCTCCTCCTCCTCATGCAGTGCCTCCATAGGAAGATGCTTTCAATGGGGGCACTCATGTGGGCTCGTTCCCGAACCCCACTGCCTGCTTTCATAGACACAGACAGTGGGGCACAGCCCTGCCCTCACTCCCTCATAACAGAGTTTGATTGACAGCAGCAGAAGCCATTGGCTCAGGCAAGTATAACAGAGGGCTTGAGGGAACCCAGGCAAAGAAGGTTTTTTAACTTAAAGTATTACTAAAGCCAGGACCCTGCATTCTGGTCTCCCACAATACACAGTACACAGAACATGGAAATGCAATTATTTCAGTAAATATAAACTGCTAAATACCTTTTATCATCAGCAGTTAGAGCAGTTTTGTGAATTCAGCTGAACACTGGTTAAAGCTTGTAGAAGGAGTTTTCTTTCTGGGGGATGGATACAAAACCCCTGACCTCTGTCTGGCCAATGTTGATTGGCCCTGTGCTGATCACATGCACTCTCCCCAAAAAAAAAAAAAACCCTCTAGCAATGCACACCAAACTGAGCATGTGCAGAGTGCCTCCACATGACATGTCTTATCAGGAGATATGAGGGGGACACTGGAAGAAGGGGAGGATCAGAGAAGACAGGATCAAACTGCATTTTTACACAATGCAGAGGATTAACCCCTTAGGTTTCAAAGTGAGTATAACAAGCATACTTTACTGCATATACAGACTGATTTTACAGTTGTGGTTTTAGTAACACTTTAAAGCACATCATGCTGTTTTACAACCACTTTATCTGACAACTTTGATGAGCATCATAAAAAAAAAAAATATATCGACCTTTGTACTCTAGTATATTATTAATCTTACAGGCTGGCATCCCGTATCTCCAAATATAAGTATAACTTTACATTGGCATTCTTCAAACCTTAAAAAGCTGCATTATTACAGGTGAAGTATTAAAACACTACAACATAACGGGTCCCAGACCTCTCTTTATCAAATATTGATTTATGATTGATTGTGATGTATTGATGCCACTTATCGATATCATTATGAATAAGTGATCTCATTATTATAATGATATCATCTATTGATATCACTAATATAATATCATGAGATATATTTTTTTCTGTAAAGCCCTAAATATATGTCACTAGTCACAATAAGTGCTGTATTAAATGGACCTCTCCAATTCGTAAGCCTGGTTTTCTAAGCTTGAGAAAGGCTAGTCCAGGGTCTTGTATTCTAGTCCCAAAGGACCACTAACGGGTTATGTTTTCAGATGTCCTCACACAATCACAAATGAAATTGTGATCAATCAGGGCAGCTTCGCTGTTGAATATAGGAAACATGACCCGATGTGGTCTTTGAGGAATGGAGCTGAGAAACTCCGACTTGGTGAATCCCATAGTAAAGAAAAGGGTTAATATCTTTCCATTCCTTTTCTTTATGAACATTGCCCTCTGGTGGTGACTCAACTTAAAGGCACACAGCAATCCCATTAAAATTCATCCCTTCATGCATACAGTATGTGACAATTAGCCTGTGGAATCAGAGAAAGAGAAGCTGGTGGAAAACTGTCAGAATTATAAAAAAAAAACAGATAAAGAGAAAATTGTGTGCAATGAAAATTCTTCATTGGGTAGTTCGCACTGGTAGATTATTAGTAGACATAGATTCAGCTGTCAAGGGTGATTGTAACATATATTAGATGGCCTTCAGACATGCAGAGCATGATCTGACCATTGAGAGATCTTTGATACAAACATATATGTACCTAGTGGGCAGAACGTGCATAATTAGGCCCATGGACGGGGACCACTGTATAGAGAACAATAATAAAAATGTAATGACCTGGAAAATTCAAGACATCTGATCATTGGTTCCATGGAGAGGTTTAGTCAGGGGATGTCTGGCAAGGTCATGGAGTGCTTACAGACATTAGATTTGTCCGAAATCTGTCAACTTGGCTGACGTTGATCTTATATCTGGTGGTACCCTGTCACCAAGTACATGTTAGAGTTCTGCCCTGCATAAGGACACAAGGAAGACCTACCCGTCTGACCTACAATTTTGGACAAATAATAATCGGATCTTACGGTAGTTTCGCTTTTATCACTCTTCTGATGTTGTATCCTCTAGCTGTTTTTCTTTTCTCTTCTTGTTTTAAAATAAAATCACATCAAAATATTCTCTTCTCTCTTTGCTTTTGTTAGAAAAAGATGAATTTGCACTGCAGTGGGTTTCTATTTCTTATATAGGGGTCAGATCTTGATGAGAGAGAGAGAGCAACGGAGATCAATAGCTATCCAGGAACTGATTAATCTACTCTGCTGTATGTCTCGGGGCCAAGCAGAGTGACACAGTGGTGACACTGTGGTGACACTGTGAATTAATGGGATGAGGAGAGAGGGAGAGAGAGAGAGAAAGCTAGGAGCACAGAGGATGGGAAGATAGTACACCATGCAGCTGTAGAAAAGAGGGGCTGTAGTATGTGATAATGAGATACTACCCAAAAATGGTTTTGGGGGGGTTTGGAATGATGTGTAAGCAAAAGTTTAAATATAATAATATAATCACAGTTCAAAGTATATGTAAAGTAAGAGAAAAAAATTGCTCTGTCTCTTTAAATCAAATAAATGTGATTTCTCCGTGATTGCACTTCATGCTGCCGGTGCTGTAATATACCTGGTTGATCCTGGCTGTGGTGCTCCTCCTACAAGGTAACTGAACACGGTCTTGTGTCATCCCGCCAAAGATACAGGCATGCTATGCTCTTGCCTGTATCTTCAGTGGCTAGTGCAAAGCCCCGCTAATCCCTGCTCTCGGATGGGAAAGGGGAGGAAAGGGTAGTGACGTCTGTTGCCAAGTCTGATTGTGCTCCATTGCTAAGGAAACACAGAAGCTTGGCGGCAATGTCACCGGTTCTGACATAATGCCCCGACGCTGGACACACACATCAGCAGGTCTGGGCATTACTGTGGACCTGACAGTGATCACATGACCTACAGTTCCAAGCTGCACAACACAACAGAGGCAGTTTTTTTTTTTAACAAAATACGAGGTGGTATCAAAAAGTTTTGAGAATAGTTTTGGAACACACCAACAGATGGTCAATGTGCCAAAAGACATCATCCTGTGTACATTGGGAGCTGTGCAACTGGTGCTATTCTGATCACAACTGCTATTTCATCATGGACAGCAAGTCAGAACAAACGTGAAATTGTGTGTGAAACCCCTACACCCAAGTTTCATCACCGGTAATGATCCTTGACATGCACAAGTTGCTGAATGGCTTTGACATTTTCAGGAATTGAGCTCGTTGAAGGTCTTCCTGATCTCTCGTTGTCTTCCAGTGATGTTCTTCTGCTGTTAAAGCATGCATGCTACTCAAAACACCTCAAATGACTCATTGCAGCATCGTCATAAACTTGCCTATATCATGGTAAACGTCTCTGTGGCAGATTTGCCCAGTTTCACTCAGAACTTTGTTCTAACTTGCTGTCCATGGTGAAATAGGAGACGTAGTAACACATGTGGTCAGAATAGCACCAGCTGCACAGTTTCCGATGTACAAAGGATGATATCTTTTGGCACATTGACCTATGAAGGTCGGTGCTCCCTGTGACTGTGCGTGCAACCTTTGTGCTGCCATCTATTGGCGTGTTACAAAACTAGTCTCAAATTTTTTTTATACCACCTCGTATACTCACAATACAGTTTAACTTCATGTAATCAGTGGGCGGAAAAGTGGAGTGGAACACCAAGACTGAACCAGAGGGCCCGTGGACTGGCTCTATCCATCAGAAAAGATCGATCTCGGCAATCCGCCAAACCACAGTGATCGGGAGACCCATGCATCCACTAACAAAGTGAACATTAATAGTTCTCCACCTGTTATCTACTTGCCCATAGTTGTGAACATTACAGTTGTGGCCTAGTTACACCAGTCCATTTTTGGAATACATATACAATACAGGTATCATCCAAGCTGAAGGCAGGACAGTTATAGACAAAGATATAACCATGCCAACTGAATCCACAAATCCCCCTCTTTCTGCAGAGCAGGATTCCTACTACTGTTCATCTTTTCTTTTTACATCCAGTTATCATTGTCCATAGACATTTATGCCAATTATTGCTATTTACCTCTTCAAGCTCGATTCATTGCTGGAGCTCTTAAAGGGAACCTTGCACTAATTCCTTGCCATCAGTCAGTGGAGTGTTAGCTTTTCTCCTTTTCCCTCACTATCTTTGATGCGACTACCGTGAGGAACTATCATCCACCCTCGGACGCAACCTCACACCAATTGGGACCCAACAAGCGTGCAGAAGATATTACAGAGCTCTTAAAGGGGACACTGCCAATTATAACTGGGAATTCTCTTTATTTCACATTTAATCCTTGTTATCTAGGTCTGAGGACCCACAGTGAGCATATCTGTTATTGATAGACATTCCTGCTCACTGGGGATTCAATAGTCCCCTAAGACTGGAGCAGTGGATTATTTCTGAAAGCAGATCTACTAACTGATACTGTTGTTTTATTGTGAATGTTGGTACTTTTGCTCACAATTGCCAAGAGTGATCAGATTTGCTGCCAATACCAGAAATTATTTTGTTATTCTGGACTCAGTTACCTCCAAATCCAATTTAAACTTAATTTTGGTTTATAATACTTCGAGTCCATTTTACAGGTGTGATTTATCTGGGTCACCAGAGCACGGTGGTGTCAGCAGAGGTTGGGCTTTCAACGAGAGGTTCAGATTGACAGGGAACCCAAAAATTACTAAGCAACCCTTAAGAGGATAGTGTAAAAATGTATCTAAACTCAAAAACACAATGTAATCTGTTGCAGCTTACCAATCATTAGATGTGTTGGCTGCATTTGTTTTCTTTTTTAGGCTTCTTTCCCTTGATTTTCACCTGGTGATCTTGCCAATAACACACTTCACGTCCTAAGCGTGTATCCAATTCACTGGAGGAGCAACAGAGATGCCTTTGGATATCAGCATTTACAGGGGAAGGGAATGTTAGATGTACTAGCAGGTTTAGACTGACTCGACTAACATATTATAGAGAAACTCCACTTTTGAGGAATTATAGGAATAATTTTTTTTTCTTTTTGGGATAAAGGTTTTACATATATAAATAAAAGCTGAACATTTTAAGCACCCCTGTCAGTGTTGAATGGTTTGCCTCAACCCTTTAAGTCAGGGGTCTCCAAACTGCAGCCCGTGGGCCAGATGTGGCCCTTTGCTTACCTATATCTGTCCCTTGGGGCACTATTCCTTCCACTCACACGAGGCATTATTCCTTCCACCGACACTAAATACGGAGCACTATTCTTCACACTGACACCAACAATGGGGTACTGTTCCTCCCACTGACACCAGAGATGGGGAACTAATTCTCCCACTGACACCAATGATGGGGCACTATTCCTCCCACTGATACCAATGATGGGGCACTATTCCTCCCACGGACACCAATGATGGGGCACTATTCCTCCCACTGATACTAATGATGGGGCACTATTCCTCCCACTGATACCAATGATGGGGCACTATTCCTCCCACTGATACCAATGATGGGGCACTATTCCTCCCACTGATACCATTGATGGGGCACGATTCCTCCCACTGACACCAGAGATGGGGCACTATTCCTCCCACTGATATCAATGATGGGCCACTATTCCTCCCACTGACACCAATGATGGGGCACTATTCCTCCCACTGATACCAATGATGGGGCACTATTCCTCCCACTGACACCAATGATGGGGCACTATTCCTCCTACTGACACCAGAGATGGGGCACTATTCCTCCCACTGACACCAATGATGGGGCACTATTCCTCCCACTGACACCAGAGATGGGGCACTATTCCTCCCACGGACACCAATGATGGGGCACTATGCCTCCCACTGATACTTATGATGGGGCACTATTCCTCCCATGGACAACAATGATGTAATTTTTTTACTCCCACTGACCACCAAGCCTATAGCATTGTTTACTCCCACCAATGCCAACTCCACAGTTCGGTCCTTCTAAACTTTGAAGGGCAGTAAACTGGCCCTTTGTTTCGAAAGTTTGGAGACCCCTGCTTTAAGGGCTCATTTACACTTGCAGTTGAGGGCAGTAAAAACAAGTCTAAGCCTGTTTTCACTGCCCCCCTATCTGCTCACTCTAAAGCTGCAAAGACAGCAGACTGGGTGTACACATGAATTAAACCACTTGTGTGTTGGGAGGCAGTTCTGTCTGCTAAACACAGTCCATACAACTGACTGCAACCATGGGTGGGATGTGGTGTTAAAAAATACAGAGAGGAGGTGATATAATGCTGACACACTTCCTGCAAAACTCCCTCTGAAAAGGAATCCACTATCCATTTCAGGGCAACTCTGGTGTAAACTAGCCCTGATTGCCACTTTTGTTGGACTTCTTGGTCTGTTAAAGGAAACTGAAAAACTGAAAAATGTATTTATTTTTTACAGGTACGTATATAGCTCAGTCAATTTACACAGTACTTTACATATATTGTACATTCACATGAGTTTCTAACCCTCAAGGGGTGTACAATCTAAGGTCCCTAACTCACATTAATATACTAGGGCCAATTTAGACAGGAGCCAATTAACCTACCAGCATGTCTTTGGAGTGTGGGAGGAAGCTGGAGTACCTGAAGCAAAACCCATGCAGGCACAGGGAGAACATGCAAACTCCAAGCAGGTGGTGCTGTAGTTGGTATTTGAACCAACGACCCTAGTACTGCCAGGCAGAAGTGCTAAACATTTAGCCACTGTGCTACCTGCTTAATACACAAAAATAAAAGGACAAAAAAAAAAAAATAGAATGCAGCCATATTTATAATGAACGTCAGAATGCAATATATTCAATTTCTACGTTTGAGTTTAGATAGGCTTTAAATGCTTCAGTTTAGTTCCCTTGCTTCTTGTACCTCTATGTACATAATACCTTGGAGGGGTTAATCAGTCAGCTTTTCATCTATGTTGCTTGGTGATTCCTGAGAAGCCTGCACAGCTTTGGAGGGCAGTGGAGCACCTACTGATTCTGTAGGAATGAACTGACAGGAGAATTCGTTTGCTGATTGCATGTTCAATGCCACGGGAACAGCAGCCGCTAAGTACTCCGTGGGCTGCTGTGATAGTGAATAAATGCCTGACTTTGGCATCTGTGACGAGTTTAAAACCCAACATTATAGCATCTGAAAGTGGTGAGCTAAAATGACAGTAGGCCCTAGGAGGGAGTCAAGCCATGGACCCCTCATTAATTAAGATATTAAGACAGCAATCTAACAACCAGGATCACGGAATACATTTCCGCTACATTTTCGTTCTTTTGTAGGACCAAACTCGAAACACAAATATTAAATAAATTAAAGTCCTAAACCCACCACTCAGATGTTATTAATAATACAACACTCTCATAAGTTCATTGACAAATTTGAATACAACAGCTATAACTGGAGGTGATGGACAGATATACTGTAGGTTAACCTGAGGCTAGCAAGCTGTAATTGCAGGATTAGTCAAACTGCTATGTCGCACATTGATATGTATTGAAATGAAGGTAGCCTCTTCACTTTAAAAGGTTTGCCAATGCACCCCAGCATGGTTATAATCACAAATAACCTTTATTCAGGAGCGCGCTGCAGGGCAGTTTGTCGCTGTGCGATGCAACGAGATGCAATGCGCATCAGCACAGGTGTGTTGGCTTAGTACGCTTGGGTTAACTGCAAAACATTAATAAACCTGGAATAAATGTAACTAGAAAAGTAAAGTGGAGCTAAAAACATTTTTTTTACATTTTTCTATTATGATGAGAAAGGTTAGAATTTCTATCAGTTGTCCACTGGGAAGATTCCCTTCACTTTCTGTCCCTGGGACCACATTGCTCTTCTTATGAGGCGTTGGCTAATTTACAATTCGGCTTAGACTGTGATTACAGTGTATTTTCTGTAACCACGTGTTTTATTACTCAAGTGCTTCACCTCAAAAGAAACATGTGTTTTTCCCATACAGGGCAACTCTATAGTTTATATACTGGTCCCACCATTTTACATACTTATCATCTTTTTGCTCCGCTGCAGCAGTCGGAAGCAAAGAAAAATACTTGGTACTTCTGAGTATGAGGGAGCATGGGGCTTACTTCCTTTCCTCCCACATTACAACTCTTGCGGTTGGTTGCTGGCAACTCAGACATCCCGCTCTGTCACTTGAGGTGAAAAAATGAGTCTTTAGCCTTGTGTGAGCAGCCAGTGACTGGACAAAAGACACAGATGTTAGCTGATGTATCCCCACCTATGTGATATAGACAAATGATCTGTGATCCAAGGACAGCGGTGCTCAGAATCCCACTTCAGGTTGCAGGTACAGTATAGAGACTTGATGGACAGTGATGGATGAATGCATGTGCTGGCAGCTGAAGCATGGGGACATACTTGTGCCCCTGATGGACTGACATCCAAAGTAAGCCATACTGATATATATATATACCAGGGGCGGACTGACCATTTGGAAACTCGGGCACTGCCCGAGGGCCCGGGGTCAGAAGGGGGCCCCATGAGATGCCCCCGGTACCTTTTTCATAGGCCTTTTTGAGTTTGGGCAAGGACACAGGGGCCCCATGATCCCCTATTGCCCGGGGGCCCCATGAGTTGTCAGTCCACCCCTGATATATATATATATATATATATATATATATATATACAGTATCTCCCAGAAGTGAGTCAACATTTTTGTAAATATTTTATTATACCTTTTCATGTGTCAACACGGAAGAAATGACATTTTGCTATAATGGAAAGTAGTGAGAGTACAGCTTGTGTAACAGTGTAAATTTGCTGTCCCCTCAAACTAACTCAGCACACAGCCATTAATGTCTAAACCGCTGGCAACAAAAGTGAGTACACCCCTAACTGAAAATGTCCAAATTGGGTCCAAAATGTTAATATTTTGTATAGCCACCATTATTTTCCAGCACTGCCTTAACCTTCTTGGGCATGGAGTTCACCAGAGCTTCACAGGTTGCCACTCTTCCACTCCTCCATGACGACATCATACTCATACAGCTGGTGGATGTAAGAGACCTTGTACTCCTCCACCTTCCGTTTGAGGATGCCCCACAGATGCTCAATAGGGTTTAGGTCTGGAGATATGCTTGGCCAATCCATCACTTTTACCTTCAGCTTCTTTAGCAAGGCAGTGGTGGTCTTGGAGGTGTGTTTGGGGTCATTATCATGTTGTAATACTGCCCTGCTGTGGCCCAGTCTCCTAAGGGAGGGGATCATGCTCTGCTTCAGTATGTCACAGTACATGTTAGTATTCATGGTTCCCTCAATGAACTGTAGCTCCCCAGTGCCAGCAGCACTCATGCAGCCCCAGACCATGACACTCCCACCACCATGCTTGACTGTAGGCAAGACACACTTGTCTTTGTACTCCTCACCTGGTTGCCCCCACACACGCTTTGCACCATCTGAACCAAATAAGTTTATCTTGGTCTCATCAGACCACAGGACATGGTTCCAGTAATCTATGTCATTATTCTGCTTGTCTGCTGCAAACTGTTTGCGGGCTTTCTTGTGCATCATCTTTAGAAGAGTCTTCCTTCTCGGATGACAGCCATGCAGACCAATTAGATGCAGTGTGTGGCGTATGGTCTGAGCACTGACAGGCTGACCCCCCAACCCTTCAACCTCATATGTCTATTTCCCAAAGACATCCTATGGATATGATGCTGAGCACGTGCACTCAACTTCTTTGGTCGACCACGGCGAGGCCTGTTCTGAGTGTTACCTGTCCTGTTAAACTGCTGTATGGTCTTGGCCACCATGCTGCAGCTCAGTTTCAGGGTCTTGGCAATCCTATTATAGCCTAGGCCATGTAGAGCAACAATTCTTTTTTTCAGATCCTCAGAGAGTTCTTTGCCATGAGGTGCCATGTTGAACTCCCAGTGACCAGTATGAGAGAGTGAGAGCGATAACACCAAATTTAACACACCTGCTCCCCATTCACACCTGAGATCTTGTAACACTAATGAGTCACATGATACCGGGAAGGAAAAATGGCTAACTGGGCCCAATTTGGACATTTTAAGTTAGGGGTGTACTCACTTTTGTTGCCACATGTTCAGTGCCACATGTTCAGTGTTGTCACATGAAAAGATATAATAACATATTTACAAAAATGTGAGGGGTGTACTCACTTCTGTAAGATTCTGTATACTATATTGCCAAAAGTATTGGGACGCCTGCCTTTACCCGCACATGAATTTTAATGGCATCCCAGTCTTAGTCCGTAGGGTTCAATATTGAGTTGGCCCACCCTTTGCAGCTATAACAGCTTCAACTCTTCTGAGAAGGCTGTCCACAAGGTTTAGGAGTGTGTCTATGGGAATGTTTGACCATTCTTCCAGAAGCACATTTGTGAGATCAGGACCTGATAACAGCTTATCCATGTCTTTATGGATCTTGCTTTGTGCACTGGTGTGCAGTCATGTTGAAACAGGAAGGGGCCATCCCCAAACTGTTCCCACAATGTTAGGAGCATGAAATTGTCCAAAATGTCTTGGTATGCTGATAGCTTAAGAGTACCCTTCATTGGAACTAAGGGGCCAAGCTCAACCCCTGAAAATCCCACCCACACCATAATCCCCCCCTCCATCATAGTTTCCACTTGGCACAATGAAGTCAGGCAAGTACTGTTCTCCTGGCAACCGCCAAACCCAGGCACGCACATTGGATTACCAGACAGAAGCATAATTTGCACTCCAGAGAACACATCTCCACTGCTCTAGAGTCCAGTGACGGCATGCTTTACAGCACTGCATCCGAAGCTTTGCATTGCACTTGGTGATGTAAGGCTTGGACACAGCTGCTCGGCCATGGAAACCCATTATATTAAGCTCTCTATGCACTGTTGTTGTGCTAATCTGAAGGCCACATGAAGTTTGGAGGTCTCTAGCTATTGACTCTGCAGACAGTTGGCGACTTCTGCGCATTGTGAGCTTCAGCATGTGCTGACCCCGCTCTGTCATTTTATGTGGCCTACCACTTCGTGGCTGAGTTGCTGTTGTTCCCAGTTGCTTCCACTTTGTTATAATACCACTAACAGTTGCCTGTGGAATATTTAGTAGCAAGGAAATTTCAAGGATGAACTTATTGCACAGGTGGCACCCTATTGCAGTACCACGCTTGAATTTACTGAGCTCCTACTGAGTACCCATTCTTTCACAAATGTTTGTAGAAGCAGTCTGCATGCCTAGGTGCTTGATTTTATACACCCGTGGCCATGGAGATGATTGGAACACCTGAATCCGATGTTTTGGAGGGGTGGCCCAATACTCTTGTCAATATAGTGTGTGTATATATATATATATATATATATATATATATATATATATATATACAGAATATACTGTATTTTACACATACAGTCATGTAAAAAGTAACTACGCTCCATAGAAATTGTTGACATTTTCAACATATTTGAAATGGCAAACATTAGATCTTTCAAATAATTCCTACAAATAAATATGATATACTTGAATAAAAATCAAATATAATCAAGCGCTGGGTGACAATATGAAGGAATAACAGGGGGGCTAGCCGCTAGCATGAAAGGTAAACCTCTAAAACCTCCAGAAGATAAATAGTAAACAATAAAATGCAGCGCTAATTGCCATAATGAATTAAATAACAAAAAAATAAATAAACAAGTAAAATGACGGTATGCATCGTAAAATTCAATAAATGAAAGTTCATAAATGAAAGTTCATAAATGAAAAAGTGCAAGATAAAACGTGACTTCTGTGAAGCGTCAATAAACTGGTACAGCAGAGTAAGCGTGACTCATGTGGTGGTGAAACCGAGTGTAGATTACACTAACCAGATAGATGAGGTGCTTGCGCATGGAGTATTTAAGACCTACTCCTGGTACTCTGGATATGGAACACTGGAAAGGTAGCGGTCATCTTTGTTGTAGCCACCAGGTGTCATGCATCCAGGATCAACAGAAGGCCTCCATAAATGCCAATATCAGCCACCAGGGGGATCATCCCAGCCTTCAAAAGGCCGGGGCTCCCATACAAAAAGAGCCCCAGACAAGAGCTTTGATAGTGTAGTAGGCTTTAATGAAGAATATTGCAAATAAAATCAAACAAATTAAATCAAAGATGGCTACCGGCCGTCCGTCCTATACAGGCCATGCGGTGTGGTAAAACAGCTGGGGGGCACCTCCCTAAAGTCATGTAAAAAGTAACTACGCTCCATAGAAATTGTTGACATTTTCAACATATTTGAAATGGCAAACATTAGACTTTTCAAATAATTCCTACAAATAAATATGATATACTTGAACATATGACACATAGAAATTGACATGTATTCATTCTCATAATCTAAAAATGCAGATTTGTCACATGGAAAAAAAGTAAGTACACCCTTACATTTACCACCACTTAAAGTGGAACTTAAGTCAGACAATTAAGTCCTGCTAGGTCACTTCAGGCTAGCCCTTTTTGCAGGTTTAGCTATGTTAAAAATTAAAAATAAGTATCTATACTGTTTGAAATCCAGTAATACACCATCTCACCCTGCTCTGCACACGCTCAGCTGCTCTCTAATTTTTGGCACTACTGAAAATGTGGAGGCTGATCTAATGACCGCCTAAAGATTTACTTCTGCTCAGGGGCTCTGGGCTTCAGCAAAATGGCAGCCTCCAGCAAGAAGAAACAGGGACAACACACACTTGTTTTGGTAGCATAATTATTAATGTGGAATGTATGTTCCTTACTAAAGAGCATTATTTTTTATTAAGTTGTAAACAGTAAAGTTATGCTTTAAAATCTATGAAATTAGAATCCGGTTTTGCAGATTAGGTGCCAATTAGTGATAAGTTTGGGTTTGGGTTTGGACTTGGTCCTGACCTAAGTTCATCCAAACCTGGAAGTTAACTGCCATTTCTCGTCTAATGAGCTGATGCAAAGGGGAGGGAATGCTTGTGCCATCTTTGATCTAATATGGGCACATGAATACCCGACCGTTTGTATAAACGTATCTATAGGGCAAGGGATCTCAAGCCTGCAGCTCACAGCTAATGTCCAGGTATGGACAGAACCAAAACTCATTCCTAATGCTAAATATATGAACCTATTTAGGGTGTATGCAGGTGGAATGTGTCTTATATAAACCACAAGTATATAGGGTCTAGTGTGCTCTTTTCTATTGACATGTGTGGTGCCGTCATGGAAAAATCAATAGAGCTCCCTAAGGCCTTCAGAAAGAAGGTAGCGGATGCTTATGATTAAGGCGAGGGGCTTGAAAAAAAATCAAATACAGTATTTGAAACTGATCATTCTACTATAAATAAAGTGGGGTAGATTTCCAACTGTATTTTGTCCGGTACTCTCTGATCCAGCAAATTCAGTCCAAGAGCTGACCATTTGATTTTAAAAGTAGTATCCAAGAACCATCAAATTTTATTGCAAGATCTGCATGTAACTCTTACAAGTCAATATCAAAAAATGATGGGCAGTTGTGCTAAACACTTACAATATATAA